CGGAGCACATATTTGCAATAAATTTCTGTCTTTACCGCAAAAATAAGCCCGACTTCAGACAGCTTCAGCGGCGTAGGTCGTAGGGCGTGAAGTGCTTGAAAGCAGCTTTTGATGCGCTGAACGCGAGTTCGAATCCACCTTTTGCCGAACTTTCCCGACACATATGTAAAGATGTAAAATGTAAAACCTAACATTAAGGTCTCTAGCGTTACATTTTGCCAACGAACTAAAATTGAAACAATGATATGGCCTTGCGCCATTATAATAATTGACATTCGAATAGCATCCTGTTTGTGCTGCGTGATTACTTTGCTCACGCGATCATAACGACTCTCATAACTAAAAAGATGTTTGAGCCCTCTTTATTGTCCTGGTACAAATTAATGCTTTTTCTTTGTTCAACGAGCAGTTCATGGGTTGAAGCTCTTAATTTTGATCTTTCAGAGAGCACGAGATTGATGCATTTAACCTTAAAATGTCCAAAATTTTCTTGCGGAGTCCACCCAACATAGCTTTGGAAACTCCTATGGGAAAGAACGACCATTTATGAACTTTACTCCAGCATTGTACAACAAAGTTCCTTTTAAATCAGTAAAACTGTAAATGCTATCGGCTATTAAAATCGTGCAGGCGACGAGGGCCGGTGGTCTGCGAAATTTCCCGGTAGATTTTTTGGTCCCACTCCTCCCCTGTGCAGGACTCTTCTGACCTCGTGTCAGTTGTATTTCACCTGACGTGGTTCAGTTTCCTGAAGTTTGTTTTCAAGACAGCAGTAGGGTTTGTTTGTCGATGGTGGAGGACTCATACAATGTCCTCAACAATGTGCTAAAGGACACAAAGTGTTTGTTTAAGACTGTGAGAAATGTATCCAGACTACAATCTCCACTGATCGAAGATAATTGTTTCCACTCCAACATTCACGTTGTCTCTGGGTCTGTCCCAAAGGCTGGACTGAACTCTGTGTCTGGACTACTGTCTGTGTCTGAGAAGTTTCTCCAGGCTAGAATAAGCTCACTAGAGTCACATCAGCTGTCAGATAAGAACATGGTAATGGGAATCAGTCAGAATTAATAATGAGACGTTTTAGGAAACAAAACAAGTGCATTTGAGATGTAGAAGCTAAATATTACATGTGTGCCATGAATTTCAATAATTTGCCTCAAACTGTGAAATTGAATGCCTCTGTGTCATATTGCTAATTGGCATATGCACATGGGATATGATTAAAAACTACAACAGCAGCCAATTATAACTAATTATAATTGTATGCAATTATAAGAAACTTCATAGCTACAAAGACAATCAGCTATAAGCATTTTTTTCCAAATATGAGAGCTTTTGAATGAGTTATATATCTCTATACATTTTCTCCATCTAAAATTCATGCTGCCATCGGGCTAAAGAGGAAATGCCAGTTCCACTGTATTCTGCATGAGTTAGGCCAAAACTAATGTTGCCACCACCCAATGTTGAATGCACTTGGCCATAATAAATCATGCAAGGATCCAAAAACACTTTCATACTCCTAAAGAATGTTGTATTATTGCTAAAGTGCCCCTATTTTAAAGGTTCCTAATTTAGTTTTGGAGGTCTCCTACAATATAAGCATCCAAGATCAAAAATCACTTTATCACCTCTTTTTTTTTTTTTTTGCAGTTTAATGGTTCAAACAAGGATTCGGTCTCTCTAAACCTGTCTTTTCTGAGAGCCTACTCTGCTCTGATAGGTCAGATGGCCCTGTCTGTTGTGATTGGTCTAAAGCTTACAGCGTATCTGAATTTCAGCTGTGGGGCTTCCTCAGCACTTGTATGCACAGAGATACAAACAGTAGCAATGTTGTCGGTTTGATCATATCAATTCGAGCCCCGAGTCCTCATCCTTTGGAAGTGCATGCAAAGGGGATTTCATCTCACTCAGTGCAGAAAACAACGTCTTCTCAACATAAACAACACAGACCTAACTCTTCCAGGCCTCAGCTACAACTACAGTGTTTGAGAGCGGGTCATAAACATAGTTTGTGGGCAGCCAATAAAGACCATAGGCTAGCATTATGCAAATTGTTTGAAAATTAATATGTATGAATTACTGACGACTCGTTTCAGGCAGTTCAGAATCGGTTCTTTCCTAGGGAAACAATCACTCCATTTATTGTCCACTTTGGTCTTTGAAAGTTTGCAGCTCTTTTACATTCACAAACAGCTACTGTACATTACACAGTATATGAAATGTAAAATCTGAAAAAGCATAATGGGGCACTTTAAAATGTGTAATATGTGGAAAAAACTTTCCATCCCATTAAAAAAAAACTTATTTATAAGTTAGTTGATAAAGTTAACTGGCTAATAAAATGCATTTTGTTGTAGGACTATGGCTGCAGTCTGAGTACTTTAAATGATGAGAGATATATTTTCAGTAGGTGTGTGTGTCCCACACTGCAGTGTGTCGTGTGTGTTGTCAGCCACACCCCTCTCACATCATGAGAATGTAATCTAGGGGTCAGCTCTGAACTCATCTCATCTCATTTCATCTCATCTCCTCTCCTTTCTTCCAGACTACTGATTTATTTGAAATGATTGAGAAAATGCAGGTAACGTTTCTTTTACTTTTCTCGTTTTTTTCCTCTCCCCTCTGCCTTTCATCTTTGATGAAAATACTTTCCATTAACCCCTGAATGAGCTGTCTTCACTGGCTACATAGTTGCACTTGCATGTCTTTTACTGTAGTTGAAGGTCATTCCAGTAAATAATGAGGACGTTTATTCATTTATAACCAAATAAGGATGACCCTGGGGCCAGTCATTTACCCAACCAACGCTGCACTGACACACTGTACTCGTTGTCATGTGCATGTGAAAACGTTTGTTGTTGCAAACAACATTGCTCGTATAAATATGAATAATATATGATTTTTTAATTATAAATCTGATTACATTGCAATTTGGATTGTAGTGTTAAATTAAAAATATGACCCTTTTTTGAAGCAAATAGTTTTTTATTCTTTTATGGGGAAAGTTAAAGTTATTTATGTGTTTATTGTCAATACATATTACAAAAAATATATTTATCGTTGGGCTCTGATTATCACAGTCTTACAGTTGCCATATCTACAATGAGAACATGATTTAAATTTGTGGAGAACAAATTAGTCACTATCTATGGTGGTGATTAAATGCAAGATCCTGCTGTTGAGTACACAGAGACATATTGATCTTAGTCATTTGATATTACGGTTGTTATCTCTAACTTAGGACAATGAAGATGTCTAATGATAACAAGTGCACTAAATGCACCTGAATGTTTCAGAGAACAACATGACATTGAAATTGGATCTGATTTACTGTTGCGTTGCTTCGGGATGACATTATACAAAAGAAAAGCTCAGCTAGATGTGCAAGATGTTTTAAATTACAAATGTGTTGGTCTGCTGGAATTCGTCATCAAATAGGTCAGACATTCAATCTCTGTTGCATCTCAGTGCAGCATTTCAAATCTACAGCAGTTCTCAGTAGAATTATATTCAGCCCTGCGTGGGTATCTTTTTTATCTTCAGCATTTTAGTTAAAGAAATGGACAAATGATTTGATATTTACAACTTCAGGATGTTATATTTTGTATAATGACTGTAAATAGCCTTGTAAATATTTGAACGTCTTCTCCCTGCACGGTTACAATCGCGCTTTGATCTTGTGCTCCATTGTCTGCCATATTCATGAAACCGGATTAAAGAGAATAAAAAACAGTTCATTATCTAAGACTGATCTAAAGGCTGATATTTTTTTCTGTCTTTCGGCTTGTCTACCCAAAGTCATTTGCTCTTTTAAAATATTGTTCAAGTGCATGTGAACATTCTTTTAAAAAGATTTTATGGTCTTTCATAATCTTTTCTATGAATGTCCCATTATTCCGTTTAACTTTTTTCATGGCATTGAAACTTGCTGGCCTCGAAAATTTATTAAAGACATCGTTAAAATAGTCCAAGTGACTACAGTGGCTCAATCTTAACTTTATCAAGCGACGAGAATACTTTTTGTGCGCAAAAACAAACAAAAATAACGACTTTATTTCAACTATTCACTTCCTTCTCTATGGGCCTCTAGTCAGTTAACATAGTATGACGTCACACGTAGGCTCACTATTGGCCGACGCTGGTCATGTGTGTGATGCGTGTGACGTACAACTACTGAAGCTTACGCTGTTAAACTAGTAACCTGACTCGAGGCAGATAGAGAAGTAAATGAATTGTTGAAATAAAGTCATTATTTTTGTTGTTTTTTGCGCACAAAAAGTGTTCTCGTCGCTTGATAAACTTAAGATTGAGCCACTGTAGTCACTTGGACTATTTTAACGATGTCTTTAATAACTTTTCGAGGCCAGCAAGTTTCAATCCCTCAAGAAGCCTATGGACTAGTATGCAGGAGTGATCCAGCTCTCAGATTTCATCAAAAATATCTCAATTAACCAAAAATATCTTAATATCTTAACTAACACTTTAAGGACAAATTACATTATAATAATTACATTAATTAGTATTTTTTATTTTTGCTAAAGTGGAATTTGCTAAGATTGTATTGTTCCGCTAACTGCCTTATTTTACACTTTATTTTACAATCCTGTTCCCCATGTACATAGTATGTACTTATTACAGTAATAACTAGGTATTTACCCTGAACCTAACCTTAACCCATCTAGTTACCTTATATTACCAAGTACTTTTTAGGTAAATATCCTGAAAGTACATGTTTGTGCACGAACTGTAAAATAGTGTAACCATTATATTAATTTAAATTCTAAATACCATGCATAAAAGTGAATTGCTCCTAGAATGATATTCCCATTGTGTCTTTCTTAAGATGTATATTCTTGTAATTTATAAACTGATATTTCCTTTTCTTTTTTAAAAGGCTTAAAAGTATAAACAGAACCAAAGTGTTATTTTTGCTTCCACACGTGAGCTCACAGGCCTGCTATAAGGCTGACAGATTCTTTCTTTTTATCTTTCAGAGCAGCAGAATGGACGAGCAGCGAAGCACTCTTCCTCCTCCTCTCAAAGTATGTTCACCTCACCGTCTCTCTTTTGTCCCTGTACACACGCACACTCACAATAATACAAAACACGTATTGTCTGAGGGCCACGGGCTGCTGTTTTATCTGCGGGCAGACGGCTTCAAATAGAAAAAGCCGGTTATCAGTCAAGCTGGTTCATCTAGTTTTCAAAGACATCCGTAGCCCACTTTCCCTTGCACTAATGGAACTGCAATCAAATAAGATTAGCTGGTGCTGAGCAATATTCTCTGGCCCGCCCGAGGCCTCAGTGAATGTAAAGAATCAAACCGATTGTACCATGTACAGTTAGTGAGTTAGTTGTCTTGAATAAACCAGCAGATGAGCAAGCAGTGTGGTTTTTGCTCCTTGTGTCATTGGAGTTTTAAAACGGTCTGTTGCGACCAAATGCATCCGCTGCATAATTAATGTTTTGAACATCATTTTGTTACAGACTGAAGAAGACTACATTCCTTACCCCAGCGTTCATGAGGTAAACCGGCTCAAAATAAAACTGACAGAATTTGTTGTTGCAGTCGATATCTCAGTGGAATTTACTGTGGGCTTGGACGATTGACTGCCAGTGTAATTGTTTTTATTTGCTGTCTCTGTCAGGTTCTCGGCAGGCAGAGTCCATTTCCCTTGATTCTGCTGCCCCAGTTTGGGGGTTATTGGATTGAAGGGACCAATCACAAGCTGAGCAATGGGATTGACCCGGAGCAGCTCCTGTCTCCCACCTCACGTTTCAAACTGGAGTGCAACAACACAGCTAAGATCTACAGGAAACATTTTCTGGGCAAGGTGAGGATTTGTTTAAACAAAGTAATAGTTTAGCCAAAAGTGGTTAATCATGTCATCATTTAATCACCTTCATGTCATTATATTAGAAAACTGTATGACTTTCTTGTCATAAAATGGTCCATACATGTATTATAATTCCATGTGCACTACATGTTTCAGACACTATATTTATGCACTATAAGTTTGCACTAAAGACATTTGATAGCTTTGTGAGAGGAACAGACCATTATTTACTGCAAATCTGCCCTAGCTCTACTTAGGCTTGTTTTTGAGGGTGTGTTTACACTTGGCAGTTTTGGTTTGATTAAAAGAAACTCGAGTGTGTGTTTGCTCTTTTAGTGCGGCTCATTTGAATAATCCGAACCCTGGTGCGCACTAAAAGAGCGGAACGAGACCCACCTTTTCAGGAAGTATTGGTCCGCTTCCAAGCGGTTCGGCTGTAATGAATGCTAAATTTTTGGTGCAGACCAAAAGAAATAAAGAGAACTGAACTTCAAGTTTGAACACCCTCAGAGTTAGAAAAGGACTATTTGAATTCACAGAAAAAATATTATTTTGAGTCAATGAGTTAATCGAGTTCAAAAAACTGATCTGAATGATTCATTCACAAATCGGACTGTTTAGGTTCTCAAATTGAACTTAATTACTTTTTTATCACTCAACTCATTGTCTAAAATGCCTAGAAAAAGCTAAACATTCATAATGGAACCACTCTCATCTATCATTTGAATAAGTTTCAATGATATAATTGTTAGCAAATGTAACCTAATTACATAGACCAATGTGACACCGCAGCAGCCAGACATAATGAAGATTTATTAGGTTTAGCTTCAATGGGCTTAATGTATTCACATCTAATATCCATTATAAATTAGACTAATGTGCATAAAGAAGTGGTCGGTTAGCCAGGGGGTGGGTAGGGAAGTGTTGAGACTAAAAACTGAGATGAGTTTCCAAGTGTGATGAAGAATGATCGCTCACAGCTTCACCTTCTGCTCCTTCATTAGGAACACTTTAATTATTATACAGTGGACAGTGCCCTGGGCCACCTGGTGTTCTCCATGAAATATGATGTTATCGGGGACCAAGAGCATCTCTGTCTCATGCTCAGGTATGACCTTTTCCTTTCCTCTTTTTTGTTTTCGATTCTAGATTGCTTCTCCCTTCCCTCAAATCACTCACTTTTCTCCTGGCCTCATGTCCTGCCAAAACGTCTTTATTGTGTGGATGAGGGGGGCTAATGAAGGGCTTAGTATTTGGCCCAGTTCCACCACTTTGTTTTGAACTTTGGCTTTTACTGTGGACATTAAAAAGAGCACACTGATATCTATTCCTTGACAACAACTGTGAATGTTTCCTGGGACCCACAATAAAAGCTCTTTTCTCACAGATTAAACAGGCCAAATGTACTCGCCACCCTCATTTCCGCATTAGGCACCAGATGGACAATATAGGCCAATGTGTGTGGGTTGAGGGATGGCAGCAGGATGTTCTTGTTATCAAATCCATGTGACACATTTAATGATGCCACAATGACACTGAGTTTGGAGTGGTTAAAAAGTGTTACTGTTGTAGGTCTGGGCTGCCTTTTGCTTTAATATCATTAGAAGCTGTGTTTTTGAACTGCCAGGGAAAACAAGAAATAGTTTTTTCTTGCTTTTTTTAAACCTCACAAAATATTCCTTTATTTCATGCCTAATACAATAACAAACTATTTCTTGTTCATGGGGTAAAAATATATTTAATTAATTTAAGTATTAAATTATATATATAAATGAAAACGTGTTATTTTATGCAAAATTAGATTTTCAAATAAATTTGTCTATTTACATTTAGGTTTTGCTATTTATGCCTAATTAATAAATTAGTATTGGAAGCGTTTCGGCTATTTCAGTATTAAATAAATCAATATTTTTGTATGCCTTTTTTAAAGACTACAATTGAAAACTCTATATACATATATATATATATATATATATAATGTGTGAGTATATTGCAGCGTTTAACTGTACTCTTATGTTGTCTTTCTGTTTTTTTACAGAACAAAAATGAAAACGTATCACGATGTGATTCCAATATCTTGTCTAACCGAATTCCCCAACATTGTCCAGATGGCCAAGGTGAGAGTGAATCATGCGGGGAGGGGGTGAAGGGGTCAGCACTATTGTTTTCATGCCCTCCAATTCATCACACTTCTCTCTGAGTGACATGACTGATTGTCTCACTCCCCCATGAGCCTGTTCTGTCCTGCCTGGACAGATGACCATAGTGTTCATTTTTGCAAGATCAAATGAGAATGAGGAGAATCAATATGTGCTATGTCTTTCCGTTATTATCAGCTCGTCTGTGAGGAGGTGAACGTGGACCGCTTTTTCCCGGTGCTTTACCCAAAGGTACACAACCTTACGTCTTTTTATGACCCATCTGCGTCATAGTGATAAGCTTTATACACCAATGCATGATCCCGGATCATTTGTCCTGGTTAATTTAAATGTGGCATTGGGAAATACGCTAGTTTAAGCGGACACTTACGTAAAGGACACTTATTTAAATCCTTTACCCCTCCCGTAGGCATCCAGACTCATTGTCACATTCGACGAACACGTCATAAGCAACAACTTCAAGTTCGGAGTCATTTATCAGAAGTTTGGACAGGTGAGTCGCATGGGAAGCCTTATCTCCATTTGCCCCTGCCATTTAGCAGATGCACAGAGATTAATTGTTGCTGTAACTCGCCTTCATAATTCATCTTTATTTAGAACACCACCACTAACCAAGTAGTCCTTCCTCCTCTCGACCTCACAATAACGTCTCCTCTGCTTAGACAACAATCAAAGCATTGTCTTCATTTGTCTTGTATTAAAATCATAAGGCTATTGTTCCCAGAGAAGAGCTTTGATTACATTAGGACAGTCATTGACCTTTAAGGCCGCAGAGAGGAGCCGAGAGAGAGCGAGAGGTACTTAAGAGGTTCTTCGAGGAGGCTTGGCAGCAACACCCTTTGCGTATTAGCATGAAAGCGGAGGCCTGAATAGCCTCTTCATCTCACAGATCGATGTGTTTACATACTCAACCTTTCCAGTATGCAGCAAGTACACCAAGGCCTTTGATGAGACATGCTCATGTTCGAAATGCACCTTATAGATCAGCCCTTAAATTTTCCGCTTGCCCTTTTTTGACTCTAAATGACAGACTATGTTTATTCAGAGGAACAATTAGCATTTGCATCAAGCTAATTTTAGAGTTTGCTTTGTCCTCATCAAGGCGTTCTTGCTTTTTTGTTTGTGGGTTCATTTCATTTGGGTTTCGTTGAATGTTAGGCTTTGTGCTGTCTTGCTATTGTGATTTGGGATATCTGAAAGGCTGAATTTCTTTATTTTGTTCTGTAATTGAAGTTATGATACTGCATGAAGCTTCTTTGTTGCATGGACCTCAACAGAACCATGTATTGTGCCTGGTGGGTGTCTACTGCCAAGGTGACTTAAGTACAAATGTTTGCTTGAATCTTATCAGCAATATGTGCTTTTATCTGTGTAGACCTCAGAGGAGGAGTTGTTTGGGAATAACGAGGAGGGTCCTGCTTTTGTGGAGTTTTTAGAGTTTCTGGGACAGAAAATCGAGCTCCATGACTTCAAAGGGTAACTCTTATAAACAGAACACTCTTTCTCTCTTTCAGTACGGCATGAGAGAAATGTAAACGCACTAGATGAAATAACTGCATGCATTAATTAAAATAGAAGCTTTGGATGTTGGAGTTGAAAGTGGGCGTCTGAGGAGAGATTTCACTAAGAATGAATTACACTTACATTTAGAGTTGTTTATTTGCACTTGCCTGACCCCTAAAACACACAAAATGTCTACCTGCAATATGCAGTGTTTATGCTTTAGAAAAGAAAGTGACTTTAAATTCTTAAGATGCATGTTTAGTGCCTGATTAAAATGTATTTCTGCAAATAAATGAAATAAAGCTAAAATAAAATGCAGTATGAATATTAAATGAAAAAAAACTTTAAGATCTGAAAACGAATAATTAATTAAAGCTGAATAGAAATGTTTAAAGAAAAACAAGAACTAATAAAATAGACAAAAGCACATAACAGTGTCAGTTACTAAAACTTTACATAAAATTAAAAAACAAATTCAAAATATTAATAAATAACTAATAGTAGGCCTAAATACTAATAGTACACAATAGTATATAAATAATACTAAAACAACACTGTAAATAACTAAATAAAATGATTAATTTATAATAATAATAATAAAGAATATTAATTTAATAAATGTATTAATTATTATTTATTAATTAAAATTCAAATTAATCACTTTTAAATGGTAAAAAATGTCTAATTTAATTAAATGTTAATTACAAAAATTTAACAACAAATAATACAATAATATAAATCTTTCAGGTGTTACAAAGAAATAGACATATCAAAACCCAATAGTTTTCTCCATCGTTTATCCTTCAAATAATTTATTCCTAAATTTATTTGCCATATATTGCCATAAAATACCATTTAGTGAGTTTGCCCATGCATGAGTGTTCTTTGTATACAGTAACCTTTATGTACAATATACAGTATATCCCTATTATAAAGGATACTAAATCTTGGATGTGATGTTTAATGCTAATGGTAATGCTAAAATTCGTGTCTTTTCTGCAAAACCTCTGTATATATTTCCTTCTAGGTTTCGTGGAGGGTTGGACGTGACACATGGACAGACAGGCTCTGAGTCTGTTTACCACAATTTCCACAACAAGGAGATCATGTTCCACGTGTCAACTAAGCTCCCTTACACAGAGGGCGATACACAGCAGGTACTCACCATCGCACCATGTGGCTTCACTCATGTCATCACATGTGCTTTCCTTGTTATTATTACACATTTCTGAGGAATACTTGATTCTGATTGGTCAATCACGCCATTCAGCGTTACGTTATTCCTCTCTAACCACTGTAAACACAGGCTTACTGAAGTCAGCAGAGCTATACGCTTGCTAGGAACAGTTTTTTTTCTCATCCAAGTTTTGCATTTGGTGAGCTAATAAAATATTAAAACTCAGTCAAATCAATATTTTGTGTACAGTTACTTACTTATGTCATCCAGTATCGTGGACTCGTTATCTCTTGTTTCATTCAAATGCAGCTGCTGCCATTTTGTGACCCTTGTTTTGATCTCAAATCAATATCTCCTATCCCCATAATTATTTATGTCGCAAAATGCTGTGTATGACTGTACCGGATCCCTTAAATGTTCATCTAGTTTGAACTTGCAGTGCTAGGAACTGCTCTCTCCACGGAAGCGTTGCGTTTAAAGACCTAATAAAATATTTAGACTCAGATCAATATTTCGTGTCTAATTATTTACTTATTATTTACTAATTATTTAATAAGCAGGATAATGTACATCCAGCCAGTTGTTATCTCAGAATATCTCAAGACCTGATCACTCTGTCTGCGTTTATTCGGATTTAACAACCGGCTGGATGTAGATTGTCCCTTTCTTAGAACCTTCAATCATTACAAATGTAAAAGTTAGTATGACAAAATATCATCAGTTGTCCCTAATGATCCATCTCTGCTGTAGATCCTATTCTGATGTAAAATAAAATAAAACAACAAGCCACATATAGGTGTAAGCCACCTGTATAGACAGGAGAGTGAAATCCATTCTTAGCCCTGGGACAGATGCTGTTTCCTGCAGAAACACACTGCTGATGTGCTGGCAGATGATTGTTGACTCACAAAGTGACCTTTATTTTGCACCTTCACTGGCAGTGCTGCGCCCTCAGAGGAAGAGTGTTTTTAGAGCTTACTCCTCAGGGAATCTTCTACATTTAGAACACATGAACCGAGCTCCTCTCTCCCTTGCTGTCATGTGTGCACACACTCTGCAGTGATTGGAGGTTGACAGCAGATCAAGTTGGTGAACTGATGTCCATGTGTTTAAGTGACTGGCAACAACCTCTGCGTTTGTCCTTGCCATCCATCTGTTGTGACATGTTGTGAAAAACAACTTCAGCAGCACATGGTTTCATTGACACATAAATTCAACCTTCAAAATGAAATTAATTTATCATGAGATGTCAGCCTTTGCCGAGCACGGCACTCATCCCAACTGTGGTTTTGTTTACCATATCAAATATGTTTGGGCTGGCTCATTTCAATCCTACGTAGTAAAGTATGAAATCTTGAGTTACATTGTCGATATATTCATGTATAAAATATGTACAGGCTATGCACAATGTAGCACATATTTGAGTGCCTTATTGATTTTATATAATAAATATTGCATAATAAAAGTATTAAAACATTTTTTTCTTTCATTAAAACTTTATTTAAACTAATTTATTATGTGCTACTATTTTTTTTAATTAAAATTAGTGTTCTTTAGAACACTACTCTTCAAAATTTGTGCTCAGCATGACTTTTTTTTTTCTTTTTTCAGTAAATACACATTCAGTTAATTAAACATTGAAGATTTTGTCATTACTCCAATCTTCAGAATTGGATTACATTACATTACTTTACTCCACATGATCCTTCAGAAATCAATATGCTAATTTTATGCTTTTATGCTAGTTTTAATCAACACTGAAAACTTTTTTGTTTTTCTGCTTAAAACTGTGATACATTTTTTCAAGGATTCTTTGGTCAATAGAATCTTCAAAAGAACAGAATTTATTTGAATTAGAACATAAACTCTCTTGTGTCCTTTTACAGCTGCAGAGGAAGAGGCATATAGGAAATGACATCGTGGCCATAGTGTTTCAAGAGGAGAGCACTCCATTCGTGCCAGACATGATTGCTTCCAACTTCCTGCATGCCTATGTAGTGGTTCAAGTGGAAAATCCCTGTTCTGACAACGTCCTCTACAAAGTACTGTATCATCACAGTATTACTGTAATCTAGAGCTTCTGTAACACTGTGAGTCAGTAAATTATATACATTTGTCATTCTCCAGGTTTCGGTAACGGCGAGAGATGACGTCCCATTCTTCGGACCACCTCTCCCTAACCCAGCCATTTTTAAGAAAGTGAGTTAAGAGAATTAATGTAATTTAGATGCATGGCACTAGCAACAACAATTCATAGGTTCAGTTCTTAAGGAATGCATTGATTAAATATATATACAGTTCTTAGAATGCTCTTTACGAGGTATTTGGAAGGAAAAAGTATCTGTCAAATACTACACTGCCTTTCAAAAGTTTGGAGTCTGTTAGATTGTTTTAAATGTTTTTGAAATAAATCTCAAGGTTGCATTTATTTGGTCCAAAAACTGTAAAACAATAATATTGTGAAATATAATTTAAAGTAATTGTGGTCTATTTTCATTTTGAAATGTAATTTATTCCTGTGTCGGCAAAGCTGATTTTTTTTTTTTTGCATAATTACTCCAGTCTTCATTGTCACATGATCCCTCTGAAATTTCTGCTGATAAAAAAAAAAAAAATTCTTATCATCAATGTTGAAAATAGTAACTAATATTTTTTTTTTTTTAGAATTCTTTGATTAATAGAATGTTTAAAAAAAATGTTTTGTTCGAAATGCAAAGTTCTGTGCAGGCTGATAGGTCCATAACTCAATCTGTTTGAAATCATGTCATTCTCTATAGGGCACAGCTGATTGGTTCCTGCTGTATTTAATGCATCTTTGGTGAATATATTCATAAAATAAAGAAACTGGCTCCAAACTTTTGAACAGTATTGTATAGTATGTAATGAAAACACTAATTTCCATCCAACTGTCCTTCTCTAATTTGTTGTCCTGCTACATCCTTCCGCCTCTTACAGGGTCCAGAGTTTCATGAATTCTTGCTTTCCAAGCTGATCAATGCTGAATACGCTTGTTACAAAGCTGAAAAATTTGCCAAATTAGAGGTGAGTGACTGTAAGATGTCATAAATCAGTGCTCATATATAGTCATCACAAGAAAGACATGTTCCTGAATCCTGGATCAAAATCTTTTGTTGATCTTAGAACAATAATCCTGTCCAAAAACATAGTCCAAAAATCAGTGGGAAATGATAGGTGATTAAAAATAATAGATAAATAAAATTTTGAACTTGACATTACAGTGCCCCTTTTATGCTATTTTAAAGGCTCATTGTGTTGTTTGGAGTCTCCCACAACATTTTTACATGCATCAAAGGTCAAAAAACACTTTAATTTTCTTTGCACATCACCACATTTTTCAATGATTCTCAAAGAACTCGACAGATTAACTCAATTTCAGCTCAGAAGGCTTCCTCAGTCCTCTGTGATTGTACACTCTTTAAAGACAGTAACGATGACCTCGATTTTACCATAAAAAATTCAAGCAGGAGTCCGATGATGAACATTGGAAGAAATAGTTGTTTAACCCAAACCTCCATCGCAAGGACGACTCGAGCAGGACGTTTCTCAGTGAGACACTACTCAGTTTGAGGTACATTATGAGATGTTGCACCTGTAATTCCTCACCATTAGCATTAACAAGTGTATGTCCATCAACAAACTGATGTGTATGTTTCAAATTTATTACGGTGCACATAAATGAATGAATTAATTAATTATTTAATCAATGAATTAATGAATGAAGCATTTATATAGCGCTTTCACAGGGGATCTCTCCTCAATCACCACCAGTGTGCAGCATCCACAGTCATATGCGCAAACTGTATTAATAACAGTATCAATAACAGAACATACATTAGTCGAGCTCTATGATTGATGTAACAGATTAAAGTTTGCAAAACAAATCTTGCTCCATCCTTTATCTTTACTCAAAGAAGTGAGAAAGAGAGACAGTCTGCATTAATAGACACAATTTTAGGTAATAGTGGCTGATCAACAGAAGTATTTCAATAAGAAAATAATAATGTGAGTTACACAATATAAAATACAAAATTACGTATTTTCAACTCCCGGTAGAAATTATATTCATCTATAATTAATTATTCATACTTACAAGTTGTGTTTCTGAGGTTCACAAAATTCACGGTTCGGTTCAATATGATTCAGTGGTGACACAGTTCGGTATGTTTTTGATACAGCAAAAAAGAAAAATGCCAAAGAAATTTCCTTCCAAAAACAGCTCCTTATAATATATATATATATATATATATATATATATATATATGATTAACATTTGTGGCATTTGATGTTGGGCAACGTTGTGGTGGTCGCACCAGCGCAAATGCTAAAAAAATTCGGTTTGGAATGCGTACCGAAAGCCTTGTACCGAAACGGTTCAATCGTAAAGCTGTGGGATTCAAAGTGTCAGAGTCGATTCTTTGTTTTGGGAGACAATAACTTTGTTGATCGTGCACTCACGAGTTTACAACTTTTCAGAACTTTTACATTCCCAAACAGATACAGTATATTACACGCTGCATGAAAGGGAACGTTCGAAAAACCACAATTGGGGTATGTTAACTTTAAACCTAACCCTAAAATCTGATTTGCTGATTGGAATGTTGTTCCAGGATCAAAAAGGATGTGATCCAAGAACGTTTTACTTCACATTCACTCATAGAGCATGACACATGCAACACCAAGCTAATGGGTTAAATTCCCAGGAAAATGTGATGTTGATAATGTGTACACCTTGAATGTTATTGAAGCTATATGCAGCATATAATGATATATTCAGCATGAAACAAATGCATACTGCCTCATCTAACATTCATTTACTCTTTATATTCAAATACAATAACCTTTTTGTTCCTAGGAGCGCACCCGGTCTGCCCTGCTGGAGACGCTGTATGAGGAGCTACACATCAACAGTCAGGCCATGATGGGGTTGGGAGGAGAGGAGGACAAACTGGAGAATGGAGGAGGAGGGGGAGGGGGCTTCTTTGAATCTTTCAAGGTAATCCACAAGGACAACCGGGCTCTAGGGGTCTCTGTTACCCCTTTTCCACCAACAACAACCAGGTGTTGGTTCAGAGCTAGAGCTAGTGCCGGTTCGGATTTGGTTCGATTGACAAACTTTCAAAGAACCAGTTTGCCTTTCCTCACCTCACTGTATACATCTCATCTTGCCTAGCAAGGCGCACACAAACACACCAGGCTTGTTCGAGTTGGTTCGTCACTGCGAATCTCGAATTGCGAGAGCGATCCAAAAGCAGGAGTCGTATGCGCTCCAAACACTCCCGCAGCTCCGTTCATTCCACGCTGCTCCGATGCATCTCAAACAAGCCTTCCATCAACAATGGCGGTTGTTGCGTTACTATTTATGCTCACAGCTTTTCAAACCTACATTGGTATCCAAACACGGCGATTTCCAGCACGTTCGTGCAGCCCGTCGTAAATTGCATTAACGGAGATTACAATCGAGCTGCTATTAGCACGCCATTAAAAAATGGCGGTCACAAGTTTCTGTTCATCTTGTTGGTCACGGTAACCCCGCCCCAGCCGCTGACGTAAGCGGTTCTTACTTCTAGAGCAGCAATGATTTGGTGCTACTTAAGAACCACTTTTACTGGCTCATTGCTTTGGTTGGTCGATAAACAAAGAACCAATTTGAAACTAGGCTCTGGCTCCGAACCAGCACCAGATCTGCCTTGGTGGAAAAGGGGTATGTGAGGGCACTTACTGTCCACCCAGAATAGAGGAGGATAGGGATGTTTGTGACGCATTACTTTGGCTTGTGCGTGAATGGTGGAGGTGGTGTATTCTGGTTGTTTTACAGTCATATTAGCACTCATGAATCACTCAAGGATGTCAGATAAGTCGTTCGCTCAGATTTTTATTTTTGATCTTGCTGCTGTTGTTCTAAATGAATGGTAGCATATTTTTTTCTCTCTTGGGATTTAGATGGTGCCCCCTTTTTGACTCCAGCTGCCAAGTGATGTAACCAATGCTACCTAAATTAAATCACGCATTACCATAATTTACACTAATTAGTCCTATTAGCACATTGTTGAACATAGATACACTCATGAGAATTATCTTGGGCTCTACACTATTTTGCTTCCTAAAACACTTAGCAAATTAATCAGTAGTTCATGATTAATCATATCGTACACAGATATTTTCTAATATGTAAAATTATGCGTGATGAGTATATAGTAGTGTTATTTTAGTATCATTTAGATCTTTTTATATATTTTGAATAAGATTTTATTTTTGTATTTTCTGTTGTCATTTGAATTTTAGTTAAAGGTGCAATGTGTAAAAATGTTGAGTATCTACAATATGACATCCATAGCTATGTTTTCAGTGGTGTGTAAAGAACTTACTTAATAAACCAAATGTTTTTATTACCTTAGAATGAGACATTTATAACGACATAACCGCGAGCACCCCCTTCTATGAAGGTCGACATATTGTGACGTCATGTTTTTACCGTAGCCGACAGTGAACAAACAGCGCTACAGAGCACGTTTCGTCACTACCTTGATAGAGATGCAGCAGAAAGCTGGAAGCTAGCCATAAACACTGAGTAGTGACTTTTCCCTTGTCCGTGGTGTAAAATATGTAGTTGGATTGTTTCATGTAGCTTAGTTGTTCTCCCTCACTGTGTTATGGCTTTGCTATGTGGGGATAAATGGGCTGGTTACGTTTGTGAGACAATCAGCTGATTACTATTATTATATTATATATTAAGACCCTTTATTCTCACCTGACTATGGCTTTGTAAACTTTATCCATTATAATGGACTGTGGCACAGAAACAGTGACAATGTTACACACTCCTGGCTTACTCTGGCTATTCTCTGCTGTCTCAGCCGACGATATGTTTGTCCCATTTTAGCCACCGTAGCTTCTTCGAAAGGGAGGGGTGAGCAGTGGACTGAGCCCTTAGTGCAACTCGCAACCGAACCGATAGATGTCGCTAAAAAATACACACTGCACCTTTAAAGTTTTTAAACTACGTATGTCATAGGTCTGTGTAGTTTTAGTACATCAAGTTAAACTAACTGAAAATAAGAAATGTTGCTTTGGCAACTTGCTGAAATAAAATATTTTTTTAATGTATTTTATTTAATCTTAGTTAACATTTTTATTTTATTTTTTTTAAATAACGGAAATGTTTTTTTATGGTTTTAATTAACTATAATAACCCTGGTATATAGAGGTTATGGTCACACTTTAGATTAGGGTTCAATTCTCACTATTAACTATGTCAATTAGTCAGAAAGACAGTTGTTAAGTTTAGGTTTTGGGTAGGATTAAGGGATGTAGAATATGGTCATGCAGAATAAGGAATTAATATGTGCTTTATAAGTACTAATAAACAGCCAATATCCTAGTAATATGCATGATAATAAGCAACTAGTATATAGAGAAAATTGGACCCTAAACTAAAGTTTTACCATGGATATTATTCAAGATGACAGAATTTTCAATGCCCAAAATTCAAACGGCCTATAATTCCTTATAGACAGACTGTTTCTATGTGCTCGACAGCCTGGTTAATAATTGAATGTGTCCAGTGGTGTTTACGCATTGATTGTGGTCATCCAGACAAATCTATCAGATTTCTCATAAATCATTTTCATTATCTCTTTTAAGCCATTTTATTTGCTTCCGCAACCACTCATTCACACAGTTTTCTTCAGTAGCTGTCTGTAGAAAACACATTAGCATAAAGGATGTTCTCCAGCTCCTCTGTGGTTGTGGCATTCTGGGAATTTCCGCTTAAAATCGGGCAGCACTTTAGCGGGTTTAATCAATATCCATTCACACTCTTACACAGATAGCTTCGGTAGCTCTTAGCCATCCTTTCAATGACTTCATGTGCTCAGGCTTCATGTCATCCTTCTTTCCTCTGGCCACATGCTTTTTCTTTTATGGACAAAACTGCACTCTCTCCTCACCTGTGGTTCACTCAGGTGTTGCTTGAGTCGTTTTAGCAACTTGATTGGTTGCCTTCAGACCCACTCCATTGGCCCACCCTGACCTGCCGCTGCTCACCGTGTCTCCTCCTCATCTCTCCCTGTGCTGTAGCGGGTGATGCGCAGCAGGAGCCAGTCTCTGGACACCATGGGCCTCAATATCAGGAAGTACACAGTCTCCAATAGTCACAGCGGCAGTTTCACCCACAACAACATCAACCACCTCTCACCAGAGACCCCCAAAACCCCTGGGATAGTAAGTAACCCCCCTACAGGCTTCCCAATAGGCAAAACTATGCTAGTCCCCTCACTACCCTCCACTATGGGGTAAAAACCCAGTCCTGGTTACACATACTTCACTAATTCCTGACTACACTGAACCTTAAGCACATGATAATGTTCAGAGTTGCCGAACTAAAGACAAACAACACAACAAAGGCGAAATATTTCATGAATAATCAACCAACCTCAACTTAATAATTACCCTCATGCACGAGTCCCTTTTTTCTCATTCCCATCATGCTTTTTTTTTGGTCATCTCTGCAGCCACTGATATTCTCATTCTGTATTTCACTGGAAGCTTTCACTTATTACAGTTGAGTTTACCTCAGGAATGATTCTTGAAAAGATCACTTGTAATTCACTGGCCTTGCTCATGTGCGCTGCTCTAGCAACAGTCAATATTTCCTGAGTTAAAAGGGTCAATGACATTGACTTGTTCAAAAGGACATTTAAAAAGCCATTCATATTCAATACAGCTCTTTTATAATGATGAGCATGTTTTTTAATCTCTATTAAAATGATTTTTTTTATTAAAAAATGTCAGGGTGATACAATTTTCCTTATTATTTTTTCATGATCAAAAAACCTTAATAAAATTCTTGAAAAGAAAACTTGGGGCATGAACTTGAGGTCCACTTATAATGTTAGCATTTTTATCCAGATTTTTACTTAAAATAAACATCCTAATTTAGAAGTAATAAGCTATTTTCTATCATGTTTTATATTTTAACAAAACTGCTTACTAATATACAGTATATAAAAAATGTAATGTTAAATTATTTTAATTAATTAATTGTTTAATTTAAAGACACTTATGACTGTATGTCAAGATGAATAAATATCTTAAAATATCAGACAAGATTAGTTTAGGTTGCAAAATGTGATTAGAAATGTGCATGTATATATATATATATATATATATATATATATAATATTTATGAATAAACAATTTGTGATATTCATAAAATTAAAATATTTGGTTTTCCTTCAAAATATATATATTTAAAAACCTTTTTGAAAATAATAATCACATGCTATTTTTTCAAGTCATTAAAATGAAGTTTTTAAAATCCGTCACAAATATATTTTTGAGTGCTTGGCACAGATGTTTTATAATAGATTTTTTTTTTAAAGTATAAATATGTCATTGGCCCAAAAGCATGTTACCTGAATTTGAGTTTTCCACAGAGAAGACTGTTACTCATTTAACCTTTCTGTCATCACAGGAGGGATCTGTGTGTGTGTGCTGTGTGTTATGATGGAGATGGGGTCCTTTGAGATGTGCACGATATAGTTATGAATGTGTTGCATGTTGCTCATGAGGGAATGAAATACTGTCAGATAGTCTTCAAGGGCTCATGTGAGATTTTATTTAGTTGTTTCCTTCTAGTGTCTCTCAGGAATGAATATTATCTGATCTAGATGTAGGATAAGGTGGCCTGCCAGCAATGTCAGTATAAAGACAGTTGTGAATGTTTTGACCTATTACACCACCCACAGGATCAGCCTCACATCAAGGACCTGCAGAGAGAATTGTAAATAGGTTTGTGTGTGTGTTGAATGGATTCTGCTGTGCTACAGGTGTGCTGTCGGTAAGTATGGTTATCGCACAGGATAAGTGCAGAGACGGCGTTCTTCGGCCAGCTAGCTCTTGCTCCATCAAGTGGAGTGGCTCATAATGGTGCTGCTCCTTGCCCTGGGGACTATCACTCACTGAGGGCCATGCTAAGTCATGCCAGTGCCCCTCGTGAGCAAAACTCACATGAGCCTAGTGAAATCTTTCCCCAGAGGGACTCACGCTGGAACAGACTTCAGAGTTACTGAGCCATGCCTCTGTCACAGTTAATGTTTCTGTTATTTATAGCACTATCATATGCCACGTCAGTCAAATGAACTTTTTTGACCTTCACAGCAGATTACGCAATGGAGAATATTGACCATATTTTGACTATTGGGACTTCAATCCCAAAGCTTAGAGGTGAAAATTAGTGATTCATCCCCCTATGGTGATTATGTTACAACAGCCAGGGCCATCGATGAGGGGGCCCTATAAGGGTCCTATGACCGTTCTCAACTGGTTTTTCTTCAGGACAATATAATAAAGTATATGTCCAAGTGTATTGGACATCAAGTTACACCCCAACACATACCAAAATTAGCTATCATAATCAAGTAAATAAAAACATGCTGACAATACTGAAAAATTCATAAATCCACCAATATCAGCATTGAGGAAAAATTAATAACATAAAAAAGAATTATGGATAGTAAAATTGAATGTTGTGAATTATTTTTTTTATTTTAATTGTTAAAATTGTATTTGTATTTTTATAAATCTTAATTTTTATTTATTTATTTTTTTACTTTTATTTGTATCCTTCATACAAATTTATTTTAGTGTAAATAGAAAGGTCCTCAAAATCCCAATGGAGCTGCAGCGTGCATTAATCCAACAATATTCGAAATCAATAAAAATGTAACAAACTGTATAGTGTAACTGTATTGGAAATTCTGTTTACTTTAACAATCCAATTTCAGATCCTGACCCACCAGTTGAGAACCAATGATCTATGATACAATCTGAGGGGGAATAATTTGAATTATTGCGAGTTTTAGCATATCAACAGGTCCAATTACAGTAAATAGAGCTCTGTTACAAATAACATTGCATTAGTGTTTATTTAACAGCATGATATTAATTTTCTCGTCTGACTACCCTGTTCCAATAATGTTAACCTGACTAACTGTTAAACTGTGTTGAAATGTCAACTGTCCCATTGTCTTCAATGGTGTGCTGTGTGCTACTTTTGCTTTCTTGTACTTCACAGGTCCCGGGACCTGCTGAAGTTCCTCCGGACCATTTCTCCTCATGTGGCTGCCCCTATTGTGCTTATGACAGCTTTTTTCTTCCTGTTCATGCTCCCTCTAACAGATGTCTGTAGCCTACTTTGTTTGTATAACACAACCTGCTGCATGGACTCATAATTTCTCTCGTTCTCTTTCTCTCTTTCTCTGTGGGCTCTGTGCAGTCATTGCTTGTCCCAGGCAAAAGTCCCAGTAAATATGGACGGCGTGGCAGTGCCATAGGAATAGGAACCATAGAAGAGGTTCATGTATAACTCTCACTCCTCTCTCGTCTGCATCACTCGTTCTCACTGCATGACCTAAGCATCACTTTCACACCATACGGCTGCTGATACAGTCAGTGAAAGCCCCTTTGACTCTCTGTTCTCAATGCACTCATCATAACAATATAAAAATAGGATTATGAAACTTCAGAGTCAGGGCTGATGCCATATTTAATCTTGCTCAAGTAAATATGAGGATTTGAGGGATAGATGCAAATTCAGATTAATTGTTTGCACTGTTTACATTTTTTAGTACTAACTGTTAAAAGTGAGATTTTTTGACACACTTTTGACAACAATTGACACTTGTGTGTGCACAGAAACACACCTATATGTTTCCTATTGAATATGGCATTTACCTTGATTACATCTACGCGTCTACAACTAACATTATAATGACATCTTTTTGTTTTAATTTATTCTTATTTAATTTAAGTTATTTATTCCATTTTATTTCATTTTTAATTTGTTGCAATAATAAATTATGGCAGATACCTATACGCTGATAATAATATTCTATATAATAATCGATATAACCGATAAATGTCTATATTAAAATGCTTTACTATTTTGTCTGAATAAATAAAAATAGTAAAATTACAAAAAAAATAAAATCAATCATTTTAAAAAAGCTACACGTGAATTTAAAGACAATAAAATTATGGAAAATTCATATTAATTTTGAGATTTGCTAAGTATTACATTTACATTGTTACATTAACATCAATGAATTAATTATTATTTACGGATTAATTGAAATGAATTAATTATTGGTTACGTTGAACTTTAGGTGAATTTTACATGATGAAAATGTTCATCTAATTGTAAAAGAAGAGGAAATTAGCATCGCACAAATAAATACCAAATGTCGGCCAACAACAATTAATAAAAATATCTTTAATATCGGCCAATAACTGATATGGAACAGATAGATCAGATCTATCCAGTCTTTCTAAACACACCATATCCGACTGTAAGCATTGTTCAGTCATAGTCATTTTGCACATTTTTATATCCATTAGCACTCTTCTCTATAATGACCCATGTACATATAGATTCTTCTACATTTAGCAGAATTATTTCAGTGTTTCTTCACAGCTCCCCTTTCAGCATCACTCCCTGTGTGTAATGCATTGCTCTGCTATGTTTGAATGTCCAATGTCACTTGTTGTCATGTGGTGTTGTGTACTATTTGGTGTATTTCTATCCCCTCGTCTGATATTTGTACACTCTTTGCGAGCTAATAGTGTAGAAACACAAAAGAAAAAGGCAACAGAGTCTTTCCGAAGCCTTTGAAGCCATTTTAGATAAAAGCCTTTTTTGAAGGCCTTTCATTTGAAGTCATAAAGCAGTAGCTGTAAAATCCCAGCGCTCAAGCTTGAAGAGAACAAAGTGTCCCCGGCGAGAACACAGCCGTCCAGTGAAGCTCAGGAGATCCTGCTCCCATCTTTCATCTCCAAACCCTCAAGCACACACTTCACATCCACCCTGCCAGATAAACTACGAACCAGTGTGTTTTGTTCTCACAAAGACTGGACCACGCCACAGATATACGAAATTACAGACTGCAAGTGGTATAAAATAGACCTGTCCTGTACAAGATGTAATATCTTTAAAGTTTCCTTTGAGACCACATGGTGGCCATCAGAGTGTGAAGGTGATATCTGTACAGTATGTTTGAATCCTCGGCTCACTGAACTTCTTGTTCCCTCCCACAGTCTTTGATCATTCCTGGAAAAAGCCCAACTAGGAAAAAGTCAGGACCCTTCAGCTCTCGACGTAGCAGCGCTATCGGCATTGAGAACATCCAGGAGGTCCAGGAGAAAAGGTAAGAGGATGAAAACACTTGTGAACTTCTGGAGCAGCAATTGTGGAGCATTACTGTATCACAGATTCAGACAGTACTGGTTTCAAGACCTAGTGACCCTTGTGCATTCACCTTTAAATCAAATAAATGAGACTCGGTGAGCATAAGAGACTTTCAAATATATATATATATTTTTTTAAATCTTACCGACCCCAAACTTTTGAATGATAGAGTTTGTGCGTGTTTTGGTGAGAGCAGGACTCAACAAAAAGATGGCTTTGGCCAGTTAAAGAGAGTTATAAAATTGATATGTCCCAACAATCTTCATAATTGATTGATCATGCACATGTACATGCAACTTAAAAACAATACTTAAGATATATATTTACCTCAATTACATTTGATAAAAATATAGGCAGAACATAAAGCATGATATTACACTGAACTCCTTCCTTTTATGTGTGTTTATGTGTTTGGTGAAGAATTGCCGCTGTGTTGTCAGAGGACAGGACAGTGCTCTGTCTCTCTCTACCCAGCGTCACTCTCAAGAATGGGAGGCTCATCGTGGATCCCTTCAAGTATAAATGCTACCATAATGCCACCTCTTTAACCATAGACTAGCTGCTTACCTTACCTGGCCATAGAAATGCATCTGTAAAGCTATGAATTAACCACATTCAACTGGTCGCACATGCAAAATCAACATGCTAGCTGATTGGTGGTCTGCTCATTTTTTCAGCCAATCAAATGTCTGTTATATGGATTTTGCATGAGCTGGCCATTGTCAAATGTGCTTAAATACTTACAGGCCCCTTGAATCATGTTGCTCTAAACTCATGTGTTTCAGTGTAGTGATGTGAATCAGCATGTATTGTTGTATCTAACCAAACCTAATTTTTAGTTGACTGCAGTTGAGCTTGGACTCCTTCACCTCATGGTTGACATGTAGATTTGCAAACGTAATGCTTATGCTGCCCTCTAACGGTCAGTGTCTGTGTGTGCGCGTTAATAGGGAGAGCTCCCCCAGCACACAGAAGACTCCTGACAGTGGCCACGCCTCCCAGGAACCCAAGTCTGAAAACTCCTCCAATCAGAGCTCTCCTGAGGTCCTCATCACTAAGAACAGGTTAGGTGAAAAGTGATTATATGATTTGCTCACATTTATCATGAGGATCAGACTATGAATTTTGCCTTAAAGCAGCACTTTGCAGGATTTCCGTTTTTGTCAAACTGTGACCCCTAAAGTCGCTGTGGAGTACATGTACTGTCGTAAATAGCATTCAAACACAGAGACGTCTCTGCACTCACGGCCTGATCCTCTCCCCCTGTTTACCGGTACCTGTTCAGTAGGATGGAAGCTGTAATGAGCCCTGTTGAACTGTCGGCAGTCTGTATTGTATGCGCCTCGAACACCTGGTCCGCATGTATATGGCGCCAGGTTATTTCTGTTGATGTTTATTTTATCAGATCTTTCTTGCCATAAAGCAGTTCGTTACATCGCGAGACCTGATATCACGCGACACTTTCTGATGCTGCGGCCGTTCACAGGCAACCGGGGGGCCGAGACGCACAACATTCAACCCGAAAATAGCCATATAACCATTGCAATAACTCCGAAGCTATTCAGTTAAGGTAAAAAAAAAACTGCATAGAGCTGCTTTAAACCATATTTTTATGTTTCAGTGGTTGTTAAATGAAGAGTACAACTATTATTTACACCATTACTGTGAAAATATAGTTGTTTGTGCATGTTAACGATCTGCAAAGTTGCAAAGCAGTCCACTTGAGATACAGAAAATAGTTGCCCGAAACCCTTTGTTGAAGTCCTGCCATTATTGACTACGTCACCATATACATTTGCATAATGGCCTCCTACTGGTTGCTTTGGCCCACCTTCAAAGAAATTGAGTGACTTTTTTTTTTTGTTTCTGCTGTGAGGACTTCAAATTTAGACGTCATAGATACTAGAGACGCGCGGATGGGCTATTATTTCATCCGCAACCGCATCACAAAACACATCCATCTGCCTTCCATCTCCACCAACGTTTTTAACCAATTTTCAAAACCACACCCGCCCGCCATCCGCTGATTGAGCAATACAAGGAGCTGCTGATGACAGCCGGAGACTAGAAAGCTCTCAGAATATCAGCAGTGAACTCCGCGCAGGGACAAAAATAAATAAATAGTCTAAGTTAACGGATGAAACTTGTCAAGGTGTTCGTGGAGGTTTGAGCTTTAGCAGCACACTTGTTATGCAGCATATTAGACGTACCTGTCTTGTGGCTGTCATGAACATAAACTGCTTCGCAGGTTTTGCAAATTACATAGCCTGCACTGGTGTCATCCTGATTTACAACTCTGTAAAACTTATTTCAGGCAACACTTTTCTGACCTTCTATTTCCTTTGTTTTTAATTCTTCTCTTTTGAGTTTGGCAAGTACCTCTTTTCTGGTGTTGCCTTCTCTGATAATAACAAGCAGTCTCTGCATAGACTCGACTAGCTGCCTGATGAAAATTTGACTATTTCAATTTTTGCTCAATTTTTTTTTGGGGGGGGGTGTAGGTATAGTCAGATAACTATACTTAACAATGTATACATATATTTTTCATTTGATTGGTTCAACCGCCCACCTGAATTTAATTCAATTTTTTTCCGTCACGTCATCTGCCTGATCCGTGGTTTATCCCTGGAGTCTGTGGCTGTAACCTCCAACCGCGCATCTCTAATAGATACCATAGACATAATGCTCTTCACAGCTACTCATGTAGTCTCGGAAGCAGAAACCAGAGGCCTCGGAAACAGAAACCATTTCCGCCACAATCTCTGAAGCCGCAGTCACACTAGATTTTGAGCCTGCAAAATTTCTTCGGACACTGCAACGGTCGTGATATGACGTCATGCTCTGCAGCACCTTTTTTTATAAACATGAATTCAACATATAACCAATAGTAATACACTCAAAATGTAAACAGCGAAATGTGAAGCTTTTCACATTAGCTTGCGTTTCCGATCTGATGCATTGAATGGAAGTCAATTGTATGAAAATTTTAACAGACTAGGCCTGCTAACCAATCAGAGCAGACTGGGCTTTTTCAGAAACGTAAGCTTTAAAGAGGCAGGGACTAAAACAGAGCTTTTCAGTCAGAGGGTGAAAAGAGGTGCTGCAGCTATGTACGCTATGTAAATAATCATAATATTTACACTTAAAACTATTTTTATTGTGTGTTGTGTCAAAACAAGCTTGAATATTTTTATCAAATTATGCAAAAGTGAAAAATATGATTTAATTGTGTGTATTTGGGTACTCAAAATGCTAGCTAACTTCATCACTTCTGTAATTTGAGATGTGGAAATGTTAATGACCACTGTTAAGATTGTCCACTGTTGGATATCAAGCTAAACTAGTGAAACAGTGAACATTTCCACAAGGTCAAAATGGCCCACAGTTGAAGAAACACCCTATTATTATTATTACAGTTTCCACTGCATTTACCCGTAACTTTGTTTTCTTTACTTGCCAAATTCAGCTTTTAATCACATTCGGTGCTTGGTAGGTTATGCATTTTGGGGGATGCATTAAGAGCAGGTTTTCATTTGTTTGAATGTGTGTGCAGTTCAAGCATTTACTGCCGAGCTCCGTCCATTCCTGAGGCACATGACCTGTCCCGCTCCTCCTCTAATGCCAGCAGCTTTGCTAGTGTGGTAGAGGAGAACGAAACAGAGGCCACAGAGGACTATGACACCGGCATGGTGAGAACAGCACATTAATTGTTAATGCATTACAAAACCATTAACCAAACTTTATATGTCTAGAGCAATATGTTAAATTTGTTCCATTCAGGAGAGTCTGTCATCAGCAGAGACTCCTCATAAGCGAGACTCATTGACATACAGCACATGGATTGAGGACAACATGAGCACTACCAGTATAACCAGTAGGGAGAGCTCTCCTGGTGAGAGAAATAAGCTGTACAAAGGGGTTTCATTCACGCAATATATTTGTGTAGCAGTGTAGTGTTTGTGTGTCTTTCTATATAATACATTTAAATATTTTTTCCAGGCCTTGGCAAAACTCAACAGCAGGATGGTGTAAAGAACCAGGAGCAGAACCGTACAGACATTCGCATCAAACTTGAGCGGGCGCATGATTCCAAATCCACATCGGTGAGTCTTGCTAGTCTAGTCTAAACATGCTGGATTTAAGTGTGTAAATGCATGCGGTGTGCACATAAAAAATGACAGCTTCTTTAATCAAGTATTGGGCAAGTGAATGTACTTTGCCATTCTTTATTTCTGTCTGTGTCTGTGACTGTGCAGAACTGCTAGCCTCTCCTGATTGACTTGCCTCATGGACATCCATCAACAGGTTAGATTAACTGTTATCTTGACTGAATTATTTTGTTTCATCAACTGAATATTACAGGCTGGTCTATAATATTGCCAATATTATATTATTGGTTTATGACTATTGCATAATATGAATATTGATGCATATGTTGGGTCATTTACATGTGAATTGTGTTTTTTGCAAGGCTAACTGAAAGAAAAAATTTCAGGAAACTTACAGATAGACCACATAACTTTTTTTTGTAACACTTAGATAATCGTCCATCATTAATTGGTAACTATGCATGATAAATGAGTAGTACTAATACTTTATCTACTACTATTAACTAATATGGAAATACAATTAATTAATCAATAAATTCATGACTGAGATCATTCATTATTGGGAAATCAATAATTACTGAATTACTATTATTTTTTATTAGTAGTATTTATTTATTGTCTATTGAATTAGATATGTCTCACACCATATTTTTTGAACAGCATTTCCATTAGAAACACCTTAGAGAGACAAGGAGAGCTCGGGTTACTTGATGAAGAAAAGGACGATGACACCAGTCGGCTGCATGAGTGACAACATGCCATGATCATGTGACCTCCATTAGGATACTCACTACCCTCGCAGACTTGACTAGAAACAGGAAGGTGTTGGATAGGCAGTCAGAAACTGTGCCCTCCTTCAGACTTGTCCTTAACCCCCTTGTGAGTACATCAGTAAATGAATGAGAACCTCCTCTGTAGCAGTGTCTAATGACATGTCTTTGTGCGGATGAGCGGCTAAACTAGAAGGTTGTTTGAGGTCCTAACACTGTGCTAAAATTCAGTTCTGTGAAGTCTTTCTCCTCAAGGACATTTTACCTGCTTGCACGATGAAAGCATTTTCAGCCCTGTCCCAAATGGTGGGCTCAGGCTGTGCAACAGGGCGCATAGAACATCCTTCTGAAACCTAAAATGACAAATGGAACTTGCTACGGTCATCGCACATCTGCAAGTACAGAACACATCAAATGCACTATTTGGGACAGGGTCATTTCTCATATTCTGATATAATTGATGTTCTTTCAGTCAGATTTCAGGTGTAAAACCCCTTGATCTAATGTTTATAACAGCTGTGCAATACATCTTTTGACATTATTTAAGAGTAACTCCACTCAAAAAGTTTTTCTGCAGAGAAAAAAAAACGAGTAAAAAATACTGTTTTGTGAATTTCAGTTAAGTCAATGCATAGTATTTTGAGTAGGGGAGCATCGATATTAAAAATATATCTGATAAGCTGCTAATTATGTTCATCTTATGACAAATTCTACTTATTTGTAAAGAAACAAGAAATAAAAATAAAATGTAACTTTTTAAATGCTACTAAGTAAAGTATCACAGCATCATAATGTGCAGTATAAAATTCAACATTCTTTTTGAAATTGTTTTTAAAGATTAATATAAAAGTGCCCCCTTATGCAATTTTAAACTTTCCTAATGTTGTTTTGGAGGTCTCCTACAACAGGTTCACATACATCTAAGGTAAAAAAAAACAAAAAAATTTTCACCACATTTTTCAATGATTCTCAAACGACTCGTCAGATGAATCAATCTCTCTAAATCCCTCCTTTCCATGAGCTACTCTGCTCTGATTGGCCAGACAGCTCAGTCTGTTGTGATTAGTCTACCGCGGACAGTGCGCATATCGAAAACAAAAACACAGAGCAATTCTACACCATAAACTAAAGACAGTAACGAACAATGACGTTGATTTTACCATATTAATCCGAACGCGAGTCTGAAGATTTACCATTAGAAGAACTAGTTATTCAACCCGAACCTCCATCGCAAGGACGACTCGAGCAGGACGTTTCTCAGTGAGACACTACTCGGTTTGAGGTACATTATGAGATGTTGCACCTGCAATTCCTCACCATCAGCATTAACAAGTGTATGTCAACAATGTATTAACAAACCAATTATTTTACTTACACTTATTTATTCACAGAGTATTTTTCTTATTTTCGTATTTTCGTCAGTAAAATAAAGGGAACACTGCAAAAGTTTAGGATTATACTGCTGTTAATTTTAACCACTGATTCTTCAAATGCTCGTCTTCGGGCAGTGAAAAAAAAAACTGGCTTTATCCGCACAGCTTCTTCTCGACATGATTCTGTCCAGTATCCACAGGAATTAGATGCAGTGTTTGAGGTTCAAGTTTTCCCTGGTGTCTGCATGCGCAGTAAGTGGGCAGGCAATATTCTAATGTTTCGTCTTGACGTCACAACGAAGCGGCTTAAGACTCATTTGAACAAGGATTCATTTAATTGACTCAGTCGACTCTTACTTTAATATACAGTGCACTTACAGATTTTAATCTTTGCAGGATGTTTTCATTCACTTAGTATGTTACACGCTACATGAAAGGTATTTTTAAAAAAATTAAAGGGGAAAAAAAGCTATTATACAAAATATACAATTATACATCCAATAAAACAATTATACATCTAATATTGGCCAGTATTGATATTTAAAAAATTCTAATTTCAGACAAAAACCGATATGGTACTGATTCTCAATAATGTGCATTATGTGCATAATGATTTTCTCATATTTAAGAAAGTGCTGTTACTCTTAAATAATGTATCTATTTATCTGCCATTATCAACTGTGCATGGAGAAATGGGGCATTTAATGAGTGCGAGTCAAAAAAAAATATTCACGCTTGGTGAAGTGTGAGAGACGCCCTCTGAATATATTACATGATACATTGCAGATGCCTTACCTTACCCTCAAACAGATAAGAAATTCAGCCGTCAGTGTTACAACAACAGTGAGCTAACATACTAATTCAGCTCAGTTTTCTGACCAGCTGACCAAACAGGACTAACTGTAAATCATGGTTTATGCTCAGCTTTGATGCACCAGTTCGACGTCTTGATTGTTTATCTGTTTGCCACATAAGCAGCTTGTGATAAATAAAAAGCTGCGATGTCTTGAGTTTCATCTTTAGTGCGGCATTCCTTATGGACTCTTTTTTCCGAACTGTATAAAAATCCCTAGTGGAGATTCTTTCTTTGTGTTGAATCAATTCAAACTGGTTATTCTTTGCTTTGTGCTTGAACATCAGATGGTTTAATGTTTAAGCTGTGTGCCAAGATACCAGTCCTCTTTTAAAAAGTCTAAACAGACTTTGGGAGTTTAACAAATGTGCTGTTGCTAATCTATAAACCAATCATTAATGCCAAAAATCAGTCAATGTGATGTTTGCTCTTTCTGTTAAAGGCAAAAAGCATTGAACGGAGCCTAAATATGACAGAGTGGTTTGGAGTTGCCTTACTCTAAGTGTCAAAATATATGAACAGATTATTTTGTAATTTATGTCTGATGAATGATTGGCCTTTCTGGCCTCCATTAAACTGCCTTTATAAAGCCCCTGGTCCTACACCTTTAAGATGTAATGTAGCCTAGTCGTCATTACTGATCCATGTTTGTTTTATACAGTTCCCATTATTGATCCGTCCTGATGGCATACTCAGACATTGGCTCTGTCTGAAACCTGAAAACTGAGTTGCAGGCAATATACTAAGGTAAGAAAGGCAGAAAGGTACATCCATATCCAGTCAGTATATATATATATATATATATATATATCAGTCAGTAAATGACATTAAGGCCTTTGAAGCCTATCTGAAAGCAGATTCATTATGCCTGTGGAGTCTTTGACTGACTAATGTTTCAGACACAGCCAATGTAGGGCTAAAAGGCTAGACATCATCACAACATCTACAAAGAATTGTTAACTCATACCTAAAACACCTTTTGGAACAGTTGTGTATCAATCAAAAACAAATCTGTTTGAAATAATGTTTTAGTCTGCTTGTGTTTGCTCTGCGCAGGGCTTCTGTGCCCCCTTGTGGTGAGACATGATTCTACCATTTATTTGCAGTGTCCATGTACATGACTGTAATTTGCTGTTCCTGTGCGGAAGTCAAATTTGTCTGTGGAAACAAAAAAAGATGCAGAACAAAATCCATACAGGGTATGAATTTTTAGACATTGTTATGCTTTCCTTTGAGCTGCTGCTTCTGTGACCTTTTCCTGTGCAATCATCATTGTAAATACTGCTTTTTTTGTACATACTGCCCAGAAAATCTGAAACAAATAAACTTGAGTGTGATATTTCACTGAACATGTTTGTCTGATTTCCGCTTTTCAATTTGGCATAGCTGAATGACTTGAGATATACATTAATGCTTGTCTGTTTTCTAAGATCACACCCAAATGGATTTATAGTATTAAAGCACAAGTATGATGAATTAATTTATGCATGTGGCCATATATATGTGAAGTAGCCTACTGTATGTGATTCTTACTAAGCTTGAAATGGATGTTTTGTCAATGGACTTTTTTTCACAGACTGTGACACGTTTCCAGAGTTATCAACATCACAAATCTTTTTCCTTATTTAAAAAAAATAATAATACATGTTTATAATGCTATATATTGTGTTACATTACCTAGTCACTGTCAGTAAATGACAATAAACGTTAAATGTAAGTACATTCTCCACACCAGCAGATGGCAACATTTGCATGATGCAAAACATGGTCATTTCTAAAAGATGTCAAATAAAAACCAACTCTGAAGGAAATGACTTGGAAGGACCCGTCCTGTCGAGGAATTATCCTTGACATTGAGAAACACCTTAAATTCCATGATGGAAAAGGCTTTATGTCGAACGTCACATGAACAAACAGGGAAACAGGTATCATTGCATCCGCTTGTCAAAGTGTTAATGGGATACTCCACACAAAAATGAAAATTCAGTCATTTACTCAAGTTGTTGCAAACCTGTATGAGTTTCTTTCTTCTGCTGAACACAAAGGAAGATATTTTGAAGATCGATTGGAACCAAACAGTTGTTTGGCACCATTGACTTCCATAGTACAAAGTCATGTACCGTCGTTCTTCAAATTATCTTAATTTTGGGGCAAAGTCATCAAACTTTTTCAGTGATTTTTATCATATTTTACTGCTGTTTCTATATATGCAGTTTTTATGTACCGGTGACCAGTGAAAGTGTAGTTCTTCTGACTCTCTGCCCAGTCATTTAGATAGGAGCCTGGTCTTGTTAGTCCGAAATAGCTGATCGGAGGCGTTGCCAAGATGGCGGCCGAGTGGCAGGACTTGTCTAAAAGGATTTGGAGCCCTCTACTCGGACAGTAGCCTACACCAAATACTCAAACTCTTTACCTTATTTATAAGTGTGAACTCGTGAATCATTGATTAAATACTTGTTCCCATATCCACTGGGTCAAAGGTGGGATGTTGATGTGGACAGATGTCATACACAGCTGGTAAGGTGGCCATGAATCAGAGTTTGGAGGAGTCCCAGTTTCTCTTCCAGCTCTTGTAAACCGGTGCTATTCTCTCAACCCTCCCTGTTAAAACAGTTCCCAGGGTTGAAACATAGACTTACGAGCCTGTCAACGCAGCTCTGGTGACTAGAGCCGACCACAGAGAACCGCTCAATGAAATGAACAGTATTGTGCAGGTATTTACCCTTTTTGCATTGGCTATACATTATGCTGATAATTGAAGCTTTGTAAAAGTAGAAATAGACACATGCTAGCGCAAATCACATGATCACATATCACATGATACTATTTGAGTTCTGTACATTCCTCAGTTACATAATTCTCGTTGCTGTCACAGAAAGGCCAGACTGCTCATCTACATTACACGTTCCAAACGCGTTGACCCTCTTATGAGCAGCTGACACAGTCTTCTGGTAGCCTACATGTGAAACTAATAACCACAGCTTTTTTTCCTAGAGTATTCCAGGTTCCGTAAGAGTTGCGTTCAGTTGACAACATTTGTGGCATAATGTTGATTACCGCAAAAAAAATTATTCATTTCGAATCAGAAATGTGAAGCTCAAAATCTGTTTTTGTGCCCGTGTGTAGATGTGAAGTGCAAGCAGCTGGGTGTGAGTGTGAACTGAAGAGACTACTGGATGGAGAGAATTATTTCACACTTTATCCCATAATATGAAAAACTCACACTGCTTTCATCAGCCCTCAGTTTGTGGCACATTTGTCCCATCACACTCAAAGCCCTCGCTCACACACTCCTCAATTCCTCGCAGAGTCTAATTAGCTGGCTTTTAACATCTTTTAAGATGTTTAGTTTTCATCACAATATCATTTTCGCTTCTTACTTTACCATTGGAGTGTTTAAGCTGACACAGAGGTCATTTATTTAAACCAACTAATCCTCTCACAGCTTTCCCAAATAGCTCATATGGTACAAGTTCGAGATTGCTAGTTAAAATTCTTTTATTGTGCATTTTTCCGATATATACATTTAGCTACGAAAGTCTTTTCTTCAAGACGTATATATTTATGAAAAGGCTTCCATTCCAACCCGATCTCACGAGAATTCGTACAAATTTTATGAGGTGGCTTATTCGTAACAATTCGTACAACCTCACTCGTACGAATTAGTAAGTTTTTGCTAAATCGTACCTATTTTACGAATTGGCCAATTCGTATGAATTCGAACGAATGACCTATCCCTGACCCCGCCCCTAAACCTACCCATCACATGGGTTTGGACAAATCGTACGAATTCGTACGAGTGAGGTCGTATGAATTAGTACGAATTAGCCACTTTTTAAACACTCGTACGAATTCGTACGAATTGGTCGTGAGATAGCGTATTCCTGAAAAGACAAAAAAAGGGGCGGGACTTGATTTCGTTCACCGGGAATCGACTGTATCGTTGTGGTTTGCTATTGCTGTGATGTCATATGAGTGACAGGTTGTCCCGCCCTCACGCCAGTAAACACCTCATCAGAGTCACTGAGGGAGGGAAAGTTATTTTGATTAAACATTGAGAGAGAGCATATGAATTTAAAATTAATGATATGCACTAATAAATCATTTATAATAAATAAGGCAATATTCCAAATTCATTCCATTTTGATTTCTTGGTAACTTGATGAAAAACTAACTAGTAACGTTTTTGAATTGGTGCAGAGATTACTATGCTCTAGTGGGAGACATCAGTATTGCATTGATCATGTGATCAAGTCAGACTGACATCTTTCCATGTGGTCTGTGCCGTAAAGCTTGAGCTGGACTGAACAAGTGGAGATGGAAAGACATTCCTGGAACAACATGGACAAAATAGCATGCAACAACATTACACAGCAGAGTGCCTCACTGATGGAAGGGTATATTCTAGTCAAAATATACATAAATATCTCTTCGAGACAACTCTGAGAGACAGAATCTGATGATGTGGGCAGGATTTGCAGAAATAGACCAGTCTGATAAAAATGACGTGCTAGAAATGCCAAGGTCTTCACACAGACATTTCCTGAAAGTCAGTGGGGTGGACAGTCTTGTACAGTGGATGGATATAGTCTTCGGAGAAAATTACATAAGAGGACAATATTGTAAGTTCCAAAGACTGTAAATGCTTACAGACTGTAAGGAGCTCAGGGCTTGGTTGGTTAGCATTGCTCTAGTATGCAGTAATATTCCATTCAAACATTTGAGATGTTAATGTTTCTGAAAGAAGTCTCTTAATAAGTCTTGTTTTTACAGTCCAAGTCTGCATTTATTTATATAAAATACAGTAAAATAGTAGTATTGTGAAATAATATTATGATGTAAAATAACCTTTTTCAATTCTAATATATTTTAAAATGTTATTTATTTCTGTGATGCAGAGCTGAATTTTCAGTCACATGATCCTTCAGAAACCATTATAATATGCAGATTGGGTGCTTTGTTTTAGGAGTGCAGAGGTGGAAAGTACTCCTTCAATTCTTCGTATCAGTACAGTAGTCTACTCGAGTAGATTTTTTAGTAGACCAGAAAGTGTAATGTAAATGTCTCTATACTGTCATTCACGTTTGACTAATGCATCCTTTATCTTTTTTTGCAGGGAAAAAGCTTGTTTCACTATTGATGGCCATTTAAAAGTAATAACCTGATTTTAATTATAGGGGATTGTACCCAGGAATAAGTATGTGCTGCATGCCTGTCATTGCGAACATGGATCTTCTCAGATATTATAGATATTAACAGCTTGAAGAGCCCACACACACGGTCTTGTCAGAACAGATTACTCGGTCCCTACCGACTTTGACTTCAAAACCTTAATGCTCACCTCTCTCACAAAACACTTTTCATAACATCTGGCTGAGATTTTCTCCTTATTTCTTCCATTTTGGCAGCATTCAGCAATGTCTACCTCACTTTAGCTCAGACCCAGGCTTCCTTATTTAACACCAGCTCTAACTAGGGAACGTCTAGACTGCATCCATACTGTTTGCATGACAGGCAGGAAAAGCTTTCTATTTACGGGAGGGAGAGTGCATGATGCCGTCAGGAAGATCTGTTGTGGTTTATGTGCCAGTAAAGGCAGAGTAAAGGGCACACTCCATCTGGAGGTTTAGCACTGCTTCCCTGCCCCCCTCTTGTGGGTCAACACTTCCTCTGTTCCAGAATCTTCACCCATATAGTAAGTGTCTCTGTGCATTAATATCATGTTGGCCCCTGTGAAATTTGAAAAACATTCCCTTGAACATTACAGACTGAACTCACTGCCAAAGTCTCAACCTCCGACAGGAAAATACATCATATTTTAATAGCGGTTGAGGTCACTTTGAAGTAAATGACCCCTATATTAGAGGAAGGGAAGAGGGGTTAAACGCACGTCTTGCTAAACCTCCACACAGTATGTGTTATAAAACCTCAAACAATGATGTGGTACTGTCGATTTGGAGCTTCGTAAAATTAAAATATATATTATTAATCTAGTTTAATATTAATTTATACATAACATTAAGCATGCATTAACGCGAATGAAAATTCATTAATTAACAATAGTACAATACATTCAAAACTGATGACTTGAACATGTTAAAATAATATGTGCATTTTGTTTTTTGCTGTCGTTTTTAACTTTGGAAATAGACATAGAGGTATATTTCATAGAGATATAGAGGAATATATTGCCATCAGAGTGTTGTATGTTCAGATCAGAGGTGATTCGTTGCATATACTGTCAATGTGATTCTTAGCGGGATGCTACATCACTGCTGTGCTCACCTCTTCACTGAGGTCTACATCAGAGGGAAAACATCCACTCCACCCCCAAACAGAACAGTTTTAG